GAGATCAATTTTATTTAGCGATTGCCGCTTAGAAACAGGTAGGGAAAAATTTCCATTTGACTGAGGCAATTTAAATCCTCACAAAGATGGCATAATCAGCTTTGCGTTAGTTTCGTAACTCGAAACAATAAATTTATACCATGAGCGTCGAAGATGTCACCTAGACTGATCACGTATCGATTGCGAACACAAAAGGCCCTTTAGAGATCAAAGATAAATTAGCCAACTGGATCTATGAGACCTGTTTTTGTCAACATAGCAACAACGATGAAGTAATTCTGAGACTACTGATGAGCCGTTTGGTATATAAAATGATTTGGTGACACTGAAAGGTTTGAACCAGTAACAATAACAACAACGTATCCATGGTCATTTCTCTGCATCTGTACACGTGCATACTGCAGTCCAAGTGATTTTTATGTAGTCAGCGAGATAATTACCGTGAGATGAAGACATGATTGTTAATCCCAACGTGCAACACGACATAGTAACACAAAAAACGGGAGAGGGTAGGGGGTAAATCACCAGGGCAAAGCTAATGTGACTAACCATTCACGTTGTTTGCATAGATCGGGTTTGAGGATGTGAATAGTTGGAGCCTCCGCAAATTTCAGTAACTTTGTGTTTCAAATGAGTAATGCAGGATTTGGTTCAATTTCAAAGGTGAATTCGTCGTGTATATAGCAAATGAAGCGTGAACTAAAAAGCTAGGAAGCACTGGACAGCTGTTTCAACCTGATTGGGTCTCATCAGCAGAGCGAATCCATCGACCCAACTGGGGATCGAACCCGGGACCTAGCTTTTAGCTCACGCCTCATTTGCTATATACACGACGAACTCACCTTTGAAGCTTTGTGTTTGTTGTGTTGTAGACGACCTGAAATGCGTGAGTCGGAGTGTCACAATGTTTTTGTTCTAATAAGTGCTGTGTTACCAAAGATCTAAGTCTCTTCTGCTCATTGGATAACGTAACAGTTTTGAACTTGTCGTCCATCGCTTTCTTAAGCCACACCGGGATATGTTCGGCCGTTCGGTGACATAACTGCCTCTCTGTCGGGCCTTTGTAGATGACTGAACATCCGCACTTGAATTGGTGAAAGCAGTTTGATTTGGCGGAGGGGGGCAATGGTTCTCTCACCGATGTTGATGGTATCCGAGTGGTAGTGAAGACAATGACCGGATCAACTGCGTAGTAGACACGCTGGACGGCAGAGTTCAGCCGCTTGCTGAATATTTCAGTCACGTCATCGCCTTTGTATGACAACTGCAGAAAAGCTTTCATTTTGGGAGCAGTTAGTGGTTTTTCTAATTTTGGTGTTGCTTTACAATGTTTGGTGGAGAATGCAAATTGGTATATGTTTGCATACAGAACTTCTTGTAAGAGTTCAATTTCGTCTCTTAAGGAGTCCTCTGAGCATATTTCACGTGCTCGATTAAATGGTGCACGTGTACAGATGCAGAGGAATGACCATGGATTCACGCAAACCCATGTTTTTGACTTCTTTATTCAAATTTGTGGCGGGAA